GATGTGAAACTCTCATGTGTTTCAGGAGAAAATATATATTCTATGTCACTATTCAATAATTTGTACTGGAATCAAATTTTATGGATTATTTAGGAGTGCAGCTTTGCTGTGGGAGATCATGGGGTGTGCAATACTTCATCCCCAACAAGTAAGGTTTGATAAGGTTAAAAACAGGGAGACTGTTATAACTGTGTTATTGTAAATAAGGCAGTTCCCAATGTCTGCTGTCAAAGTTGGCAACGTTGTTTTGAGTGCTTTTATGACTTGAACAGAAATCTACTGAAATTCTGTGAGGTATAATTACTGCTAGTGTAGAAGTGAGGAAACTGCTTACCAAGCAGCTTTAATTTATGTTCCTCTTCTGTCCTTTTTTTCTATTGAACTACTACTTGTCTTATGAAACAAGTGTAATCGGGGACAAGGGATCAGTTTCATTTCATATGCTGCCCAGTCTACATCTGCTGTTAATACAGATTAATACTTTTTTTTCAAAACAGTATTTGAGAAGTGAATTTCTCTCCTTAGAGGAGTAATATCTTAATCTTTATGTTCCTCTTCTGTCCTTTTTTTCTATTGAACTACTACTTGTCTTATGAAACAAGTGTAATCGGGGACAAGGGATCAGTTTCATTTCATATGCTGCCCAGTCTACATCTGCTGTTAATACAGATTAATACTTTTTTTCAAAACAGTATTTGAGAAGAGAATTTCTCTCCTTAGAGGACTAATGTCTTAATCTATATTGGTTTCGTTTTGTATGTTCTTAATCACATTTCTTCAGACAGCTCCAGTTTTTTTTAACTGCCAGCATTGCCAATGTTGAATTACCAGTAGTTTACCAATATTTAATCATCATACTCTGCAAAATAGCATAGAATGAGAGTGCTGTATATCTAACTGATGCTAGATTCTCTTTTTTGAAGGTATGTTGAAAGTGAAGTATTAAGCGTTTTCAGTTCTTCCTTTCAGTGTAGTTATACGCTGTGTGTGTGTAACACGGTGTTTTAGCAGAGATACCCCGGTAATTTTACATAATCATGTGAAAGATTTGTTGTCCGCCTTGTGACTGGGAGAAAGACTAAGGGACCACTAGACAGGGTGGTGGTGATTCAGTGGCGAACCTCCAAAATAGTTAACCTCACTTCCAGCCTGTTCTTTGTTAACGCCTTTGGAAAGAGGGTATTGTGAAGCACATCATGGGGTAGGTGACTTCCCACATGGTGCTTGTAGATTATTATTGAACAATATTATTTAGCAGGAATAACTCCGGACATGGTAGTTGTTTTGTGTATTGCATGCCCAGTTTGTCATGTTTTTAACTCCTTTTCAGTGTTCCGGGATCCTGGATTGTATTCTTGGTACGTAGCTTTGAGCGCCTGGGTAGGACTCAATCAGACAGGACTCAGCGGGAAAAAAACTTTGCAAAATGATGCCAGGTGCGTCTTTTCTGCTATATGGAGCCGGTTAGGCTTTTTTAGTGGAAGAGGCAAACCCAAAATCGAGACTGTGATTTCTTATAACTAGCTTATGCTTCAGACTTCACTTAAGAACAAGCAATAAAGCTAGCAGCTCTGCTTCTTACAGAGCTGCTTTTTAAGCTAAGTACTGCATCGAAGAATCAGTCTTCTGTGAGTGGCTGGCCATGTACTTACGTAGTGTAGCACTTACTCTCTGTATGTATGGATTTTCTTAGAATGTAAAATAAATAATAGTAGAAAAATTGTGGGGTACTGTGTTTAAAGTTGCTTGTAAAATGGTCCTGCAAAGCCCTGGGGGGATTTTTTTAACTGCTGTAGTGATTTCAGTAGCTTTTCTGTGCAGCCTGGTGCATAGCAGATGTCATACAGGACTCCACAACTGATGTGGACATTAGTAGTCACTTTCGTTTATCTTTGTTACACTTTTTCTTATGTTAATTCTCTGTCCCTGAGAATTTCTCTCTGAATTACCCTCTTTAGATTTGACTGCCACCTGCTGTTGTGCTCAGTAGAACTAAAGATACAAGGTGTACGGAAATTAATGATGCCTTTCTCACAGTTGTTATCTCAGATTTGTTCTCAATGGAACTCTGTATTCTTCACTAGTTGGCGGTGTGTCTGGCCCCATCTTTCACTGAGAGCAGCTTGACTCCTCTCCCGTAGGGATGACATGATACGGTTGCCAATTTGAAAGAGCCATTCTTTAAGAATTTCTTTGCCTGAGAAAATTGTATACTACAGCCTCTTCCTTACCGAAAATGCAGCTCACAGAAGAACACCTGTAAAAATGGCTGTTATCACAGAATAGCTCTTGCTAGAAAGTACCTATCAGGGTGGATGCATTCAGACAGAAGAGACTTGTCCCTTACTACAGATATCGGTGGTGTGTACATGCAGGCAGAAAGGAGAGTGTGTGGGCGGAAGGCAAAGAAAATTTGAAGGAGAGACGTGAATGAAACTAATGTTTATTTGTTCTGGTTTATATTCTTTGCAATGACATAAAGTAGCTAGAGTATTCTCAGTGCTGTAGTATTGATGTACAAGAATTACTGTTGCTAATTTGGAGTGCTGTTAAAGGTCAGACTACACCCAGACTTAAGATTCCCCCCAAAAATGAAGTGTCAGCTTAAATTGACAAGAAGTCTGAGCATACTTAGAAACACTTAAAGCATCCAAACAAATTACTGTCATGGAGTTATGGTGGGGAAGTCAAACAAAAAAAATAAGGTAAATTAAACATCCAGTTAATTTTAGCATGGCAAAACCCTGTACTACCTTATTTACAGTGAGAAAAGTAGTGCACATTGGCACTCAGAACCTGTGAAATGAGATACAAAAATACATTTTGCTTTTAAACATACATATGGCATTTATAATATAAATGTCTAGTATGACAGTCTAGCTTTAGGAGTTACTTGTAAAGTGTTTGTGAGACCTGGCAAATATGGAATAGTTTGGGTTGGAAGGGACCTTTAAAGATCATCTAGGCCAACCCCCTGCTGTGGGCAGAACATCTTCCACCAGCCCAGGTTGCTCAAAGCCTCATCCAGCCTGGCCTTGAACACCTCCAGGGATGGGGCACCCACAGCTTCCCTGGGCAACCTGTTCCAGTGCCTCACCACCCTCATCGTAAAAAGTTTCCTTCTTATGTCCAATCTAAACTCTACTCCATTGCAGTTTAAAACTGATCCCCTTTTGCTGTTACTACAGGCCTTGGTAAAAGGTCTGTTTTTCTTGCAATCCCCCTTTCTGTATTGAAAGGCCACGGTAAGGCCTCCCTGGAGCCTTCTCCAGGCTGACCAGCCACAGCTCTCCAGCCTTTCTTCGTGCAGCAGGCGTTTCAGCCCCCTGGTTATTCTTGTGGCCCTTCTCTGGACCCTCTCTAACAGGTTCATGAGTGTGTATCCAAACAAAGCTATTGTAATTTAAGAATAATTTTTTAGATTTCATATTAGTTAATACTGTTCTTTAATTTTAGGCGTGTCTGAAGAATGTTCTATTTCAAACTTCAGTTAATTATGTTGTACTTCCATCACTACCATTAAGGCTGGTAGGTGTAGG